ATTTTTTTTTTTTTTTTTTTTTTTTTTTTTGTGTCTCCTTAGGTGTCTCCTCTATTGTTAAGGTAACAGAGCAGCAGTCTCCTCTTAAGATAGATGCAGCAGCAGCAGCAATTGCTGCTGTCTGCATAACTCCTGCAGCACGTGCTGCTGCTGCTGCTGGTCGTCAAGCTGCAGCAGCAGTAGCAAAGCTAAGGAAAGAGCTAGAAGCACCTGCAGCAACAGCAGCAACAACAGCAGCAACAGCAGCAACAGCAGCAACAGAAACAGCAACAACGGATGCTGTTGCTGCAGCAGGAGGAGCACTAACAGCAGCAGCAGAGTTTATACTACAGGTAAGGTGTATATCTGTCTTCTTTTTTTGCTGCTGCCTGTCTGCTCCTTCTCCTCTCTCTCTCTCTGGGTTAATTGCTGCTGCTGCTGCTGCTGCTGCACATACTGCTGATGCTTCTGTTGATACTGGATATTTGCTGCTGCTGCTGCTACACTCATTGCTGCTGCTGCTGCTGCTGCTGCTGCTGCTTCTTGTATTTATTATAGGTATTAGCAGCAACATTAGATGCATGGCGTTTATCTATAATTGAATATAAACAAAATATAAATGATGAACAAAATAGTCGTAAAAAAGAGGCATTAACTACATTAGGTATGCTCAGGTGTACGTACACCTCAACTTTTTTTATCAATTTGCTGCTGCTGCTGCTGCTGTTGCTACAATTCTTGCTGCTGCTGTTTGGTGTAGTTCGTGATGCTGCTGCTGTTGTTGTTGCAGTTGTTGTTGCTGCTGTAGTTGCTGCTGCAGTTGTTGCTGCAGCAACAACTGTTGGTGAGTACGTGTGGGGTGTATGCACAGGTGAGGTTGCTGCTGCAGTTGCTGCGCAGCAGCTGCAGCAGCAGCTGCAGTGTATACGTGTGTCTATTGAGGGGACACTGCAGCAGCAAATAGAGGAGACAAGGAGACACAAGAAATCCATCGTGCTGCAGTTAGATAAATCTGCTGCTATTGATTCTTATTTTAATGTAAGACCTTTGCTGCTGTTGCTGCTGTTGCTGCTGTTGTTGCTGCTGTTGTTGCTGCTGTTGCTGCCATCTCCTTTTGTCTCCTTTTTATTGTCTCCTTTATCTATTTATTTATTTATTGTCTGTCTCCTTTTTATTTATTATTTATTATTCTTGTTGTCTCCTTCCCTGTCTCCTTTTTCTGCAGCAAAGAGTTAACAAATGGAGACACCATTGGCTGTCTCTGCACTCAGCTACTTCCAAGTAAGACAGCAGCAGCAGCAGCAGCAGCAGCAGCAGCAGCAGCAGCAGCAGCAGCACTAGCAGCACTAGCAGCAGCAGCAGCAGCAGAATTAGCAGCAACACAGAGAGGATCCGTTGATTGCCTGTATCTCCTGCATCACCTGCAAGTAGGCACAGACTTATATACATACCTTTGTGCTGCTGCTCTTCTTGCTGCTGCTGCTGCTGCTGCTGCAGGCGGTTGCAGGAGGTGGCAATAGCCCGACAGCTGCTTCTTACCTTTGCTGCCGGGGGGCCCCCTGCTGAGGGGGCCCCCACTGACCCTGCGAGTGAGTTGAGTTGTAACCCTTAGGGATACCCATTAGGGTTTAGGGTTTAGGGTTTGTATTCTCGTTCTGTCTATGTACATCTAATTGCTGCTGCTGCTGCTGCCTGTCCTGTGTTTGCAAACAGCAGCAGCAAAAGACAGAAGAGAGGAAGAGACAATCGATTGGGGCAGAGACAAACCAAGGACGCTGGAGCAGCTTAAGGTACCTTGCAGCAGCAACAGCAGCAGCAGCAACAGCAGCAGCAGCAGCAACAGCAACAGCAGCAACGGCGGTTTCTTGTTGCTAATATATTGAGGGTTTAGCTTGTAGACTTATTGGCGACTTCTCCTTTTATTATTTATTTATTTATTCATTTATTTATCTATTTATTTGTCTATTTATTTATTTATTTATAGGAGGAAGCAATTGCTGCAGCAAAGGAGACAGGGGCGCTGCAGCAAGCAAGACAGGCAGCCCTTACTGCAAGTAGGAAAGAACTCCGCAAGATAGAGACCCAGGTATGTCTAGGGTTTAGGGTTTAGGGTTTAGGGTTTAGGGTTTGCTGCTTGTACGCACACGTCAGAGGGTTTAGATGGTCGCCTTTGGGTGTTGGGTGGCTCGGGTTGAGGGTTTATGGCAACTTGTTGCAAATTAGGGTTTAGGGTTTAGGGTTTAGGGTTGACGATCGAGGGTTTAGGGTTTCGTGTTTGTTGCAGATGTTAATGCAAGCACATAATGCAAGGAAGCTACTGAAGGCCCTAGCAGAGAAGCGGCAAATGCTGGTAGGGTTTAGGGTTTAGAGTTTAGGGTTTGTGGTTTAGGGTTTGTGCTTCCCCTGTCCGTCTGCTGCTTCTGCATCGTATCTAGGGTTTAGGGTTTAGGGTTTAGGGTTTGGGGTGTCTGCGCAGCTCCGTTTTGCTGCCTTCTTCCATCGCCGCGTGATGCCCGAGACAGACGAACGCGCTGTCCTAAGCAGACTACAAAAGGTGGGCCTCTCCTTAAACCATTTCTTATATTACACCACGAGGGTTTAGGGTTTAGGGTTTGGAGTTTAGGGTTTACGGCTTGCATTTTAGGGTTTGGGGTTTAGGGTTTGTGGTTTAGGGTTTATGTTTGTTTGCGCAGTTGCACGGGGGCCTGATGGGTACGGCTGAAGGAGGGATTGATATTGGGGGCCTCCCCTTAGATCTTAATGGGGAGGGTACAGGGGGGGGCCCCCGTCGTAGTTCCTTAGGGGCCTCCTTATCTGATTGTTCCCTGTTTACTGCTTCTTATCCTCATAAAAAACCCTCAGAGGGTATTCGTTATTCATTAACCTCTCTACTAACAGACTCTCCCTCTCCTACCCCTGCAGGGGACTCCCCACAGCAGCAGCAGCAGCAGCAGCAGTTGGAGGGGCCCCATAAGGGGGGCCTCCTGGAGGAGGAGGTACAGACAGAAGGGGCCCCCAGGGTTTGTACACCAGAAAAGGAAAACAACAATGCTATGTTGCATGCGTATCCAACGGACATTGGGGCTTCCATTGCAAGGAGTACTGCGGCAGCAGCAGCACCTGCAGCAGCAGCACCTGCAGCAGCAGCACCTGCAGCAACAACAACAGCAGCAGCAGCAGCAGCTGCTGCTGCTGCGGTTGCAGCTACACCCGTAAGAGTAGGTATATCAAGACCTACTCCCTTACCTGAGGGTTTTGTTGGTACTTTTTCCCTCCGTAGTCTTGTGGGGTCTCGCCGCATGCGCTGAGGTGTAAGTACACCTCAGCAGCTTAGCAGCTGCGTTGCTGCTGCTGCTGCTCCTTGCAGCCTTTTCTATGCGCCTGGCTCTATGGCAGCAACTGGCTAGCTGGGAGAAGTTAGCTAGCAGCTAACTAACTAGCTGGCTAGCTAGCTAGCTGCTAGCTAGCTGCTAGCTAGCTGCTATGGATAGCAGCTAGCTAGGCATGAACTAACAAATGACCGCAACAACTAGCCAACCGCTTTTAGTTATTCAGTCCTTTACAGGTATAGCTAGCTGGCTAGCTAGCGGTGAATCGGTAGCAAGCTGGCTAGCTGCAGCTAGCTGCAGCTAGATACAGCAGAGGAGCAGTAGCTAGACAGGGTAACTCAAGTAGCAGTTTAGTGCTGCTGTTGCACTGCATTGCTGCTGCACTGCACCTGGCACGGAGGCACTGCTGTATACAGCCCACTCTCCCAATGGCTAGCTGTGGCTAGCTGCAGCTAGCTAAATGAACTTTATCCAGTGTATATGAAGTGTACAGACACTCGGGTGTGTATAGGAGACGCCAATTAGATGCTAAGAAGCAGCAGAGGAGAAGGAAAGGAGACGGCAGCTGCTGCTGTTTGCGTCTGTCGCTGTCTAGAATCTTTAGGGAGCCCTCCTGGGGGACCCCTAAAGTCCCTATTATGTCTTTTGTTGGGGGCCCCTAGACGTAAAGTTGCTGCTGGGGGGCCCCTGCTCAGACACCACAGCGAAGAGGACCGCTGCCTTCTACATTGCTGCAGCTGGGCTGTGGGGTGTATATAGGCAGCTCGTACTGCGGCAAGAGAATAGAGGGGAGACAATAAAAAGGATAATTAATATAATTTAATGATAAAGTTAACATATAATGCCTAGACAACACACTGTCTATCTTTTTAGTGACGACGGAGCCGTGCCTGTAGTAGAGGACCAGTGCACGTGGAGGATTGGGGTTTATCTTGGGGGTGAATAAATGTTTTTTTTGCTGTTTAATGGGTAAATAAATTAAATAAAAATAATATAATTACAAATAAATAAAGAAAAAACAGAAAAAATGGCTCCTATTCTCCCGTTTGCCCTCCCTCCCTCCCTTGCATCGCCTGTCCTTACAAGTGACTCTATGTGAGCTTCTTGCGGTGTCACTGCAACTTCTTTCTTCTATTCATTTTATTGCATTTATAGACTTTTTAAATGATAAAATGGATAAAAGGGGGTATTTTAATGCCTTTTTAGAGGTTATTCATCGGTATTTCAGGCCATAGTCGCCCTACCGGTGCCCCTCTATATACCTATACCCTCTTATCCCCTCCCCTATTCTTGTATATAAGATTGTTGTACTAGGGCATTAACAGCAACGCCCTTATTATATAAATCTTTTTTGTATAAACTCAAGGAAAGAAGGTAAAAAAGTAAAAAGGTAAGCAACTAAACCCTAAACCCTAAACCCTAAACCCTAGACTACCTCGGGAGGTCACCGCCACGCCCCTCATCCTTGCCACCGCGGTCTGTACAATGAATTGTTGTTTAGGGTTTACATAGATAATATTTCTTTTGTTTATTTTAGGGTTTATGCTGACAAAACCCTCAGGAAGGCAGCGCTCTGCGGCTGCTGCTGCTGCTGTTTCCTCTCATTGGAGCCCGTTGATCAACGAGCAGCAGCAGCAAACCTGAGGTGTATAGGCACCTCCAGACCCCATAAGGGCAGTCGTCGTGTTGTTGTTGTTGCTGCTGCTGCAGCTGAGGTGTACGCACACCCCACAACAATCCCTCAAGACCCCAGGCTGTTGCAGCCGGAGGGAATGGGGGCCCCCTGGTATGCGCTGCCGTAGGGGCCCCCCATGCACGGCAGTTGTACTAAGGGTCTCTTTTATTGTATTTGTCTCTTTGCATGCAAGGAGGCACAAAGAAGAAAGATAAAAGAGGCACTAAGTACGAGCAGCAGCTAGCAGCACATCAGCTGTCTTAGGGGGGCCCCCCTGCTACTTTTTATATTGCAGTAATGGAGGCAACAATACCCCCTTCCTTACCTCTACTTCGTTGGGGGGCCCCCAAAGGTAAGGGGCCCCTAAAGGCCACTGCTGCTGCTAAGCCTTCTAACTACAGAAGCAAGCATCTGCTGTCTTCTTTGCTGCTGCACAATCGTCCGAGGAGTAATAACTCTACAAGCAGCAGCAGCAGCAGCAGCAACAGCAGCAACAGTGGCCGTCGCAGCAGCAGCAACAACAGTGCAGCAGCAGCAGCACCAGCAGCAGCAGCAAAAAAACGCTGCCCCTCCAAATCTGCTGCTATAAAGAAGCATATGTCTTCTTTTACTACTCATCGCAGCAGCAGCAGCAGCAAAGAAGGATGGGGCCCCTGCTGCAGCAGCTTCAGCTCGGGGGCAAAGCCTCGCGGGCGGCAGTCTCCTGCTGCTGCTGCTGCTGCTGCTGCCGATGCTGCGGATGCTGCTGCTGGTACTGCTGCTGGTTCTGCTGCTGTTGAGGAAATCCCAGCAGCAGCACCAGCAACAACTCTGCGGTATTTGCGTCGTGGCCGCAGCAAGCAGCAAAAATGTTGCAGCCCATCAGTACCCTCTCCAACGGGGGGCCCCCTATTGGGGGCCCCCACCTCTACTAAGAAGCATCAGAGGGAATCAGGGGAAAGTGTATTAGGGGCAGTTTATAAGAGTTTTATGGCGGTAATAAGACTAAGAAGGGCATTTAGGGCAGCAAGGAAGCGTAAAAAGGGAAAGGGTACATGTATTGATTCATGTAGCAGCAGAGATGGGTCCACGGGGGCCCCGGGGGCCCCAGATACACCCGAGGCATGCGGGTATATGATGACTTCAACGGGCAGTCTTGGGGCCCCTAGTGTTGAACGAAGCAGCAACAGCAGCAACAGCAGCAACAGCAGCAACAGCAGCAACAGCAGTAACAGCAGCAGCAGCAGTAGCTGCAGCACACAAGCTCGTTGTGGGGGCCCCTCTCTGAGTACTGGAGGTAGCGGTACACCTATGGGGGTGGCCTCAGGGGGGGCCCCCGACTTCACGGGGGCCCCGTGTGATACCCTTTTATGCGGAAGGGAGATGCTGCACCTTATGCAGTTTACTGATTCTGCATTAACTGCTTCCTCGAGGGAGGGGCCCCCCAATAAGAAGGGGGCCCCCTCGGATAATTCACGGGAAGGGTACAGTTCACAAGAAGACCATGAAAGGGGGCCCCTCTCCCTACATGCTGCTGCAGATCTACACAACAAAAATGGTACCCAAATAAGCCTTGCATGCAGGGGCCCCCCCTCAGCAGCAACAATGCATGCGCAGGGCAGCAGCAACAAATTAAGAGGAGGGGCCCCCATTTGGGGGCCCCCAGATACTCCGTTATACACTTGTTGTCTGCTGCAGCAACAAAGAAGGTGGGAAAATGCCGTTCGACTGCAGCAGCAGCAGCAGCAGCAGCATATGCAACAGCAGCAGCAACAGAAGCACCAGCTGCAGCTGCAACTGCAGCAGCAGGGCCCCTCTATTGAGGAGCAGAGGGCCTTTTTTGCTGCTTCTTCTTGGGGCCCCGAAGACTTCACGTTCATAAGGACTGTAGGTAAGGTGATGGCATAAATAACCCTAAACCCTAAACCCTAAACCCTAAACCCTATACGACCCTCGTTATATCTCTGAGAAGATTCTGTCTCTCGCTTTTTTTTTCGCCAGCGTCTTGAATCTCCAAACCCTAAACCCTAAACCCTAAACACTAAACCCCAAGCCCTATAACCCTAAACCCTAAACCCTAAACCCTGCGTATGCTGCCGATTGTGTGGTAAGGAACGGGGACATTAGGTCGGGTGTTTATAACCCGTTTGAAGGGTCGTGAGGCCCCCCTGATGCATGCGGATGGTACGGGGGGCCCCCCTCCTCCAATAGGGTTAGAAGAAGGGGGGGCCCCCCGAAGGTATAAAAAAGGAGAGAAAACTTGTTGTGAATTAAGAAAAGAATTAGAAAATACTCCTTATGCAATAAAAAGATTAAGAAAAGCACAAATATTACAAGTTAAACAACAAACGCATGTACTTAATGAAAGAAAAATACTACGAATCATGAGACATCCTCTTGTTGTTAACCTGTATAAACCCTAAACCCTAAACCCTAAACCCTAAACCCTAAACCCCAATGCTGTCAAGATGTATTAGCACACTTAGGATCACAATGGAGAGAAATAGATTAAGCTGCGTACATAGGTCCCGTCCTGACCAGGGTTTAGGGTTTGGTATTCAGGGTTTAGGGTTTAGGGTTTAGGGTTTGTGTTCAGGTTTACGACTTTCCAAACAAGGACGCATTTATTTTTGTTGATGGAGTTTGTAGGAGGTGGAGAGTTATTTTCTCTTCTTAAGTTCGTTATTTATACAAACCCTAAACCCTAAACCCTAAACCCTACAACCTGATTCTTTTTGCTTATCTCCATTCTAAATCTCTTTTCTCCCGTCTCTGTGACACCATTATTTCCACTACCAAACCCTAAACCCTAAACCCTAAACCCTAAACCCTAAACCCTAAACCCTAGAATGTGTGTGCTACATTTAGCCGCAAAGGTTCCCTCCGTTTGGAGGCCGTTCGTTTCTACTCTGGGGAAGTTCTTGTGGCTCTTCTATATGTACACAGTAAGCTACCTACAGCAGCAGCAGCAGCAGCAGCAGCAGCAGCAACTGCAGCAACTCCTCTTATTCGTTTGTTTTGTGTATCTTTCTCCTCTCTTTCCTCCTTACCTGTCTCCTCCTTATTTATATCCCCTCTCTCTCTCTCTCTCTCTCTCTCTCTATATATATA